GTTTTGGGTTCCTAAGCAGTAGACACACACACAACACTGCCTGTCAGCTATTTCTCGGAAACTAAATCAGCCTTCTGTTGCCATCCTATCATGCTTCAGGGGTGCCTGTGCTAGTTTTTAATTCTTTGTCCTAACACTTAAATGTCTGCTCAAACGTCCATATAAATACTTCCTCTTAGTTTACAAAAGGATTTACTTTCTTACTGGTTGGGATGAAGCTGTCTGAGGTTGCCACCTGTTATTATTCCTTCATTTATTGGACCATGTCTGCCATTGGAGGTTTTCAAACTGTGGTCCCTGGACATGTTAGAAATGCAAATTCTCAGGCTGCACCTGGACTGCATCAGAAGGTCTGGGGTGGGGTCCCCCGAGGACTGAATCGGAAGGTCTGGGGTGGGGTCACCCGAGGACTGAATCGGAAGGTCTGGGGTGGGGTCCCCCCAGGACTGAATTGGAAGGTCTGGGGTGGGGTCGCCTGAGGACGGAATCAGAAGGTCTGGGGTGGGGTCCCTCTAGGTGATCCTCTTACACAGGTTAGAGAACCAGGGCATTAGGGGTGGTAATTTGACCTTTTTTTTTTTTTTGAGACAGAGTCTTGCTCTTGTTGCCCAGACTGGAGTGCAATGGCTCACTCTCGGCTCACTGCAACCTCCGCCTCCCGGGTTCAAGCAATTCTCCTGCCTCAACCTCCCAAATAGCTGGGATTACTACAGGCACCTGCCACCATGCCCAGCTAATTTTTGAATTTTAGTAGAGATGCGGTTTCACCATGTTGGCTACGCTGGTCTTGAACTCCTGGCCTCAGGTGATCTGCCCGCCTCGGCCTCCCAAAGTGCTGGGATTACAGGCGTGAGCCACTGCACCTGGCCAGAAAAATCTGTTTTAGCATTAACATAATTAGTTATTAGCTTTAACTCCCACCCCACATAATTTCAAAGGATTAATACCAGTAAGACAAGTAACAATGATTGATTGAAATTTAGGATTTCAGTGGCTCTATTTGTCTTTAGACTATGGCTCACTAAATCTGCACACTTGAAGTGCTGTGTTCTAGCGATGTTCTGACGACACATGAATAGGCTGTGTGACCGTCACCAGCCTGATGTGCACTTGGGCTGCAGAAACCCGTGATGCTGCCTAGCCCAGCCAGCCCCAGGTCACTCCTCAGATTCCAACTGGATTCTGACACCACAAGCACCTGGGACGCCGCCTAGCTTTCTCTGGTGGCAGGAGTACGTCCTGGAGTAGGCTGGGGGTGCCTGGAATTGACCGTCCTGAACCTGTGGAGTGTTGGCTGGTGAAGGAACGCACCAGCTCCCACAGTGAGCACGGGCCCAGCTGCCCTTGTGGGACCTGGCTCCTGGACGCCCCACGACACCACCTCTTTCCTGTCCCACCTCCTGCTTCCCTTCAGCTACTGCTCAGGGCCACCTTCCAAATTTTGATCTCAGGGTTGGTGCCTGTAGAATGCAATCCAAGGAATTTAGATTCATTCATTTCAGATACTATTCTTTCAATTTTAGGGACTATCTTAAAAACTTAGTTTGGTAATATGTAAAACATTTAAAATTTCAAGGTCCAGGTATTACTTCAGAGTCTATTTCGGTCTCACTTCCACCACTGACCCCTGTCCTCCACAGCAACCACTTTAGTTTTTCATCTTTGTACTGTTTTAAGAAAAAGCAAATACAGATTTGCATTATATTATATGTACTCTGCCCCTTATCAATAGGCCTTCCTCATTCCTCCTTCTGGTACTGAGTTCCCCACTGTACAAATTAATGTTCCTAATCCCCTACTGATGGACATTTTGATTGTTTCCGGTTTTACAAATGCCACAGTGAAGAACTTGGTTGCAAACACATTCAGGCTGTCAAAAGAACTCTGTGCATAAAGTCCTTTCATTTCTTTTCCAGTTTTTTTGATGCAGATTCCAGAATTGCTGAGTCAAACGGCAAATGCTACATACTTTCGTTAGACGCAGCCAAATCCTCTTCCACGAGGCTGCAACGTTCTGCATTCCACAGTGAGGTGTGAGAGTCCTTGTACCCCACAGCTTCACAAACAAAGCATGACGGCAAACCTGCACGTTTACCAATCACACAGGTAAGAAATTTCATCCTAGTTTCACCAATTTTTGGTTAGCATTTTTATTACCAGCTTTTTTTTGGTGTAATGCACAGAAGGTGATGAACACATTCTACCTGCAAGCTTCTTCCTGTGCCTTTGGAATCTGCTCCTGCCAGTCTGCAGGGACCACGGATCTGCTTTCCGTCACACAGGAGGCATTCTCGACACCCTCTGTACACAGCGTGCACTTTTTTATTTGGCTTCTCTTACGCAGCATAGTGACTTTCAGATTTATTCAAGCTGCTGCATGTGCCAACAGTCCACTCCTTCCTAGTGCTGAGGCCCCATCACATAAGCACAACTGTTTCCTCTGCGTGATGTGTTATTCTCTGGCTGTACATTGGTGTACAAAAGACATCATTAAAAAAAAAAAAAATCTAAATATAATGTAAAACCTGCCTTGCCTTAGGGAAGTTTTTCTGGCAGTGGCTCACACCCATAATCCCAATACTCTGGGAGGCTGAGGCAGGAGGACTGCTTGAGCCCAGGAGTTTGAGCTCAGCCTGGGCAAGATGGTGAAACCCCGTCTCTGTAAAAAATATAAAAATTAGCCAGGCATAGTGGCTCACACCTGTAGTCTCAGCTCCTTGAGAAGCTGAGGCGGGAGGATTGCTGGAGCCCGGGCGGTAGAGGTTGCAGTGAGCCAAGATCACACCACTGCACTCCAGCCTGGGCAGCATGGCAAGACTCTGTCTCTATCAAGAAAAAACACAAAAAATTAATAGAAGGAAAAACAAAAGGTTTTTCTTACCAAAAATACACTTTAAGGAATAAATTTATCATATTAAGTTGGTGCAAAAGTAATGTGGCTTTTACCATTGAAAGTAATGGCAAAAACTGCAATTACTTTTGCACCAACCTAATATTATTTTCTAATGACGAACTTGGAAATAATTGTCATTGTTCTCTAAAAAGAACAGTCTAAAAATAAAGCAGCAGCCCATTTACTTCTACGCCAGTTCTTTTAGTATTTGGCTATTTAAACTGGCGGTCCCTAACCGTTTTGGCACCAGGGACTGGTTTCACGGAACACACTTTTTCCATGGACAAGTGTGGGCATGGTGGGGATGGTCTGGAGATGAAACGGTTCCGCCTCAGATCATGAGCATTAAATTCTCATAAGCGGCACATAACCTAGATTCTTCGCATGCGCAGTTCACAACAGGGTTCCACTCCTATGAGAATCTAATGCCACCACTGATCTGACAGAAGGCGGAGTTCACACAGTAATGATCTGACGGAGGCGGAGCTCACACAGTAATGATCTGACGGAGGCGGAGCTCACACAGTAATGATCTGACGGAGGGGGCAGGGCTCACACAGTAATGATCTGACGGAGGCGGAGCTCACACAGTAATGATCTGACGGAGGCGGAGCTCACACAGTAATGATCTGACGGAGGCGGAGTTCACACAGTAATGATCTGACGGAGGCGGAGTTCACACAGTAATGATCTGACGGAGGTGGAGTTCACACAGTAATGATCTGACAGGGGGCGGGGCTCACACAGTAATGATCTGACAGGGGGCGGAGCTCACACACGATCTGACAGAAGCGTATAAAGGCAGTTATGACATGGACACATGCATGAGCTATTATACATAATTACAAAAGCTGATTCTGTTATCACTGCATCTTCTCATGAGT